TGTGTGATAATGTTTCGTCATCAATTTTTATATTTAAAAATATACTTCCTACCATGTCCAATTTTTTTCCATCGGGTCCTGCACAAATTTTTGCGAGTTTACTTATACCATGGCCTGTATCGAGGGCCGTTCTGAGGTCGACCACTGAGAGGTCAGCACCTGTATCAACCAAAGCTTCAAAAGTCCCTATCTTGTCCACATTAATTTTTAATTTGTATTTAGGGTCCAACTTCTTGATTCCGTTTATGGTCGACTTGCTTTGATTGACAGATTCAGGCGCGACGCTTAGTTTAAATCTTCCAACACGGAATATCTATTCCGGGTAGGAATATTTGTCTGTGTGCTATGACATACATCAGCATAAAGCCGAGGTCCTGATTTCTCTGATATTTCATTCATTTGGCATTTTTCTTCGACCTTCTCTTGGGTATCTGCTGGATCCTCTTCTAGGATTCTATAAACTTGACCCTACAATAACGGGCCACGTGCCCTGGCTTGTTACATTTAAAGCAGATTGGTCTTCCATCTTCCGTCCTATTTTTGCTCACTTCTTGGCTTTTATTGTAAGTGTTTCTCTGAAGGTTTGGTTTCGGCACAAAGTTAGGATTATAAGGACGTCTAGGGGTAGAGGGCTGGGGAAAGTTGTTTCGATACTGTCTGGGGGTAGGAGGGGAGTCGTTCTTGTAATTATTGGAAACAGGGGCTTGGGGCCTGGAAGTGGTCTGGTAGTTTCGTGCGGCAGTCGGCGGCACGTACCTCGATTGTTGTTGGGGTCTAGAATAGCGTGGACCGTTATATAGGTTTCTGGATTTCTCCACACGTTCCCGATACTTATTTTCAAAAGAATCCATTTTCTTGCACACGACAAGAAGGTCATCGGTCGTTTTAGGAGGGTTCAGGTAGAGCGCGAATGAGTACTCTTTTTTCAGTCCTCCAATAACATGTTCAATTTTTGTTTCTTCTTCCATTGCGGGGTCAACCTTGTTGCACAACACTAGAATGTCTTCCGCGAACCTGATTGCTGGTTCATTCCAGTGTTGCATTCTGTTGAGCTTCATTCTAAGTTCTTCTTTATTCGCGTCCAAAGAAAAATCCTGAATGAGGCGGATTTTAATATTTTCCCAGCTCGTGAAACTAGCTTTGTGTAAATTCAACCAGGTTTTAGCGCTTCCCGTCATGTTCATGGCGGCATAACGAGAGATAATGTAGTCTGCCCAATGGTACAAGAAGCCTATTTCTTCAAGAGATTCAATCCATGGGCGAGGGTCTTCCGTTCCATCATACTTGGGGATGTCGATGTTGGGATTCAGGACAACTGGGTCGGAACTAGCATCTCTACCAATTGTTGCACCAGGTTGCGGCTTGGCAGACTCTTCAGCCTGGATTCTCTCCTGTGCTGGGTCTTGCATCTTACCAGAGCGTGTTTCAACCATCCTACAAATTTATAAAAGGGAATAATGAAATAAGTCTTCTTTAAGTAGCCTCCAGAATCCTTTAATTATTTCTCACATCAAAGAGAGCAGTGAAGTCACACGTATACCTAAATACAATGATGACAATCTAAATAATCTGTGTTTTAAAATAAATATCATAGAATATTTTATATAAAAATAAATAAATATATAATTTAAATTTCAAATATATTAAAAATAATATAAGAAATACGCCATTAATCATGATGTAACAATATATATATTGTAACAAAGTATTTATTATTTTATTAGCAGAGTATTATTTTTATGTATATTTTTCTATACTCTGTACACTTCCCTCTTTTAATAACGAGTTTACAAAGTGGGAAGAGGAGCTTCTTTTTATTAGCATGCACACAAGCTTTCGGACATATCGTCCTTCATCAGGTAAGAGTAATAAACGCGCTGAGGATCCATATATACACAAAGCTGAAAAGAAAATTTACATAACTGCAAAAGATAAAAGTATTTAAAGATAAAAATAAGAACCAAATATGCTAAAAAGATTATAGGGATTAAATGCTAATAAATCTGGACTAAGTACATATGCACTATGAATGGTGTTAATCAAGGGCAGGTAAATGCAACCTATGGCTATTCACATAACATATGGTATTGTTCTGGTATATCTATATGCCTGTTGATGCTGTTTGTTTTTATTGACACAAATGCCTCTAGTAAAAGTCTTTGGTACTTATTATTGATATTGCTGTATAGAATGGATGGCTTTGTTAGATTGAATGTATGACCGGTTTGCATAGAAGACTGTAAATAGGGGAATTTAGGTTTTTATAGAGATGTTTCTGGAATGCTCAACCATTCTGATGGCGACGGATCTACCCGTCTCCCCGACATAAGTGGCATTGCATTGGTCGCAAGAGACGGAATAGACAGCACCACCAGAACGGAGAGAACTCGCATGAAGGGAAGATCTGGTAATGGGGTGTCGGATTAGTGTGGCGATGTTAGGTGGGTTCTGGAAGTATGTTGTAATGCCATGTTGCCTTAAAAACCTGGCTATGGTGATAGATGGGGGCAAAAAGGAAGGGAGCAAATATTTCTGTGTATAGCTGGAGCACTGTTGTGGTGAGGGTCATGCATGTGTTTAAGAATGAAGGGGGTCGGGTAGCCGGATTTGGAATAAATATGAAAATATTTTAGCCTTTTCTATTGTTTGGACTAACGGGAGGGAAACAATGAGTAAAGATACGTTTAGTGAGAGCTCTAACTGTTTTGATTTTGTGTGGTGTTGGGCAATGGTGACCGGAAGTTTGTGTGGTGTGGGGGTGTGTTGTTTTTCTAGTATACTGTGGTATGGAAACTGCTGGGGGTGCGTATGACTAGTGTACCTCGGTAAGGTAGGACTGAGTGATTTTCTGTTTCATGAAACAGAAAATCACTCAGTCCTACCATACCTAGATACACTAGTCATACGCACCCCCAGCAGTTTTCCATACCACAGTATACTATAAAAACAACACACCCCCACACCACACAAACTTCCGGTCACATTGCCCAACACCACACAAAATCAATACAGTTAGAGCTCTCACTAAACGTATCTTTACTCATTGTTCCCTCCCGTTATTCCAAACAATAGAAAAGGCTAAAATATTTTCATATTTATCCAAATCCGGCTACCCGACCCCCTTCATTCTTAAACACATGCATGACCCTCACCACAAACAGTGCTCCAGCTATACACAGAAATATTTGCTCCCTTCCTTTTTGCCCCCAGTCTATCACCATAGCCAGGTTTTTAAGGCAACATGGCATTACAACATACTTCCAGAACCCACCTAACATCGCCACACTAATCCGACACCCCATTACCAGATCTTCCCTTCATGCGAGTTCTCTCCGTTCTGGTGGTGCTGTCTATTCCGTCTCTTGCGACCAATGCAATGCCACTTATGTCGGGGAGAGCGGGTAGATCCGTCGCCATCAGAATGGTTGAGCATTCCAGAAACATCTCTAATAAAAACCTAAATTCCCCTATTTACAGTCATTCTATGCAAACCGGTCATACATTCAATCTAACAAAGCCATCCATTCTATACCGCAATATCAATAATAAGTACCAAAGACTTTTACTAGAGGCATTTGTGTCAATAAAAACAAACAGCATCAACAGGCATATAGATATACCAGAAACAATACCATATGTTATGTGAATAGCCATAGGTTGCATTTACCTGCCCTTGATTAACACCATTCATAGTGCATATGTACTTAGTCCAGATTTATTAGCATTTAATCCCTATAATCTTTTTAGCATATTTGGTTCTTATTTTTATCTTTAAATACTTTTATCTTTTGCAGTTATGTAAATTTTCTTTTTCAGCTTTGTGTATATATGGATCCTCAGCGCGTTTATTACTCTTACCTGATGAAGGACGATATGTCCGAAAGCTTGTGTGCATGCTAATAAAAAGAAGCTCCTCTTCCCACTTTGTAAACTCGTTATTAACCTTCAGTGAAGAGCAGTTCTACTTACTTCCCTCTTTTGTTTATCACTTATAGTTTGTTCTTGCCTGAAATAAATTATTATCTCATCCCGAAGTTGGTCTTTCCTAACTTTCCACGTGGCATTTTGGTGGAGATGCTGGGTAAATTAGGGAAGACAAACTGAAGATCGCCGAAAAGACCTAGAGGCCATGGCTGCTATGATCTACATTTTCGGAGACTGGCTCCAGGAGATCACCGACGTGTCAAAACCAAGACTTTCCTCCAAGATGACGATGTCCCTATAGACGATACGACGACACAGCCCGCTCTTCACGCCGCAAGAAAAAGGACGTAAAGGTACTAGGGACAAAGTTCCAAGACTTCGATGGAATCCTTGGCAGAAGCACGTCAGATTCATGTCAGCAAATACAATAATTGCTAGCTGTGGGTCACAGCTCCCATAGCAAAGGAGCTATGTAACAAAGTATTTATTATTTTATTAGCAGAGTATTATTTTTTATGTTTTTATTTTGCTATACTCTGTACACTTTCCTCTTTTGCTTATCTTTTTTTTTAATCACTCATAGTTGTTCTTGCCTGAAATAAATTGCTGTCTCATCCCGAAGTTGGTCTTCCCTAATTTTCCATGTAGCAATATCAATAAATATAGCTTTTAAATACTAAAAATTGATATATATTTTACTTTTCAATTATTCATGTAGACCAAAAGATTTTTCTAAAACTTATTTGGACGCGTATATGTGTTATGAAAACTAAAATAAAAATAGTTCTTAGAATAAAGAGACACTTGGGCCAGTAAATGTTTTTATTTTCTCAACGTCCTATTTGTCTATGTCAGGAAAAATAAAAATAGAGCATTTGTCAAGGCGTTACGAATGATTCTGAGGTTGTTTGAATGCCGGCCAGGCAACCTCTATCTTCAAGATTCAATAGTCATTAAAATGAGCATAATTAAAACCTAGAAACATATTGCTCTGCTGGACTGTTGAAAGTTTGTGAGAATTAAAGATTATACAAAGGGGATATAAATAGAAGTGCAATCAAGAGACAAACTATAAAAGCAGTCGTGGCCGAGTGGTTAAGGCGTTGGACTCGAAATCCAATGGGGTCTCCCTGCACGTCTCCCCGACGTTTCAGTGACCCGCTCTCCTCAGGGAAATGATTATTTTTTAAATTTTCTACTTTTATATGTATATGTCATTCTCATACCAGGCCCTCTCATTAATTTTTCCATTGCAGTAAGGGCAGTAGAAATTGTTTAATATCAAAAAGAATCTTACGCCTTTAAAATAGTTTTGAATTTTGATAACAGATGGCGCGCTAGTGCATCATATGTCATTCTACTTATATATGTGTACATTATTCCATTGAGGACAGCGAGTCACTCTAAAACGTCGGAAACTAGATTTGAAAAAAAAAAAAAAGGTTGATGTAACCGTATATTTTTCCCAATTGAGTTATAGTTTTAAGAAATGCTTTCGTATATTTATTTGCTTGTTTATGATAGTTATTACAACGAAATCATTCACAATAAATTTCTTTTTAAAGCTCTTAAATTTATATAAAACATTTTCATAACACGCATCAATGTAACTTATTCAATCTAACTTTGCTATCTGAAAATAAATATACATTTCAAACTCTATATCATTTATATTGTGGCAGATTATTTTACAATTAATCAAGGCTTGGGGTCACATCATGAATTGGACCTCTTCTTGCGTTGTGAATAAAAAAAAAAAAGACTTAAGTCAGAAGGACAACCCGGGTAGTTGGCGACTTCTGTACGCTTTAGGAGCTTGGGTTAACCAAATAAATAATCATACAAATATAGCTACGTCGACGGAGTTGTATTAAGGATGGTCATATGAGCACACTGGATCAATAGGGGATCTTTCCTCGACTCCTTTTTTTATTTTCCTCCGTGTATTATGAAGCACGAGCAAGTAGCAGACAGGGAGGATTATCCAACAATGCCGTTAACAGGGCAGAACAAGACTACAAGACCGTCAGCTGGGCTTCTTTCTTCCTGATTGGTCCGTCTACCCCCCGGTCCACAGGTGGTGGACGGTTTTAGCCACGTCGTCGTAACACTGCCCTCCTCCTAACCCTCTCCAGTCTTCTGGAGGATCTTTACACTCCTGAATGTCTCCGACCACATGAGGTTTGTCAGCCGTCCTAAAACATAACGCCAGAGTTACACCTTGTTTGTTGAACCACGTTCCAACTCCGGGCGATCACAGGACGATGGTTCTCCACTTGATGATGATTCACTTCTTTCGATGATTTTGTCTGTGGCTTGGTTTCTTCCTTGCGTACATTCTGGAGCCGCCATTTCCGTATCATTGGGAACTTCTATAGTGAGCCCTCGTCGTTTCTGCTCAGGGTAGCGCTGTAGATCGTCTTTATTTGCTGTTGAAGTGTGTTCTCAACTAAAACTATCCATATTGTGTCTGTCTGGCACATATTCGTTCATATCAGTCTCCCAAAGGTTGCCGGAGTGGTCTTTTTTTCCAGCGGAAGTGTTTTGTTGTCTCCCGTTTTCTTTATCCTGAAACTAGAACATTTAGATCTGGGTCTGTTTGGCCAACCATACATTGGACCATGGGCTGTGCAAATTTACTTAAAGCGTCGGGTAACGTGATAGTAATTACAGAAGAACTACATCCAAGTGATGGCTGTTTGGCTTGTTGAACAAAGGAACTAAGATGGCGGAGAGAAATCCGTGAATTTCCTCTTCGACATGGAGTGCAGATGGCGGCGCTGACACATCACATTCCTGGTTAAAGACACTGTCGTCGGACTTCCATGGAGCTCTCAGTTCTTCGTCCTGTTCAGTCGTTTGCCGGCTACAACTTCGATGTTCTTTAACTATCCAGTCTTTTCATACCGACACGGAGCGCCCAGCTACGAATTTTCCAATTGAATCAGCACTGTAATCCCAGACAGTCTAGCCTCGTCGCAGTAGTCCGTCACGCCGTTGCATTGCAGCTCACCATGATCCCCGATTCTCCCGCGGAGATGTTTAGAAGGGATGCAGAGTGCTGAGTTTCTGCACCGCATATCATCCACAGGGTTCTCTCCTTCCACTGTCCTGGTATTGTCCTTGAGAGATTCCAGCTGTCGGTCGAACTCCTCATTCAAAGCTGTAGATTGCTCTCCAAATTTCGATACTGATAAGATAGCCTGAGAACGAGTTGTGCATGTTACGTTACCAATTTCTGGTTTCACAGGCATCCAAAACTTTTCACGAACATAGATACCCGCTTCTGACACCATTTGTTACGTCCCCTGCTGCTGTATCAAGGGTGGTCAAATGAGCATGTGGGATCGCTAGGGATCTCTGTTCGACTCCTTGTTATTTACTTTCGTGAATTATGAAGCACCAGTAGAGAAGACTGATAGGATATCATCCAACAACGCCGTCAAAAAGAGGGAGCGAGACTTGGCTGCCGCTGATTAGACTTATTTCTTCCTGATTGGTCCATCTGCCACCCCCCCCCCCCACGGTTTTAGCCACATTCGGACGTAGTCGTAACAATATGTCGATATTTGATTTATCAATATAAATTGCTTTGTCATACTCATGTTTGTATTCTCTTATTTTTCTACGTGATATATTGGTGGGGATGTTGGGCAAAATAGGGAAGCTAACTGAAGATCGCCAAGCAGACCATGAGTACTGTAAACTACATTTACCGCGACTGACTCTAGGATTCCACCGTCGAGTCAAAGCCAAGGCTCACTTCCATGAGGATGATGTCCCTATAGACGCTACGACGACAAAGCTGCTCTTCACGACACAACCGAAAGGACGCAAAGTCACTATGGTCAAGACGCTGAGGGAAATCTTGATAGGAATACACAAGATCCACGTTAAGTAGCACACACAATTTGCAAGCTGCGAGTCACGGCTCCCTAGGGAAAGAAGGAGCTATGTAACAGAGTATTTTAAAAATTAATTCATACACATTTTTATTTTACATATTTTGTTGTTCAGGACTTTTCTCAAATTGCCTCTGTTTTTTTCACGAATATTTGTTGGTTTTTGTTGTGTATGAAAATTGTTAAATATCTGTATGTATTTTGCATATTTTTTATTATTAATATGTAAATATATATTTGTATATATAGGACATTAACGGTGCAATTAAAGAGAAATTGACCAGTAAATATAGGCTGCGTGTCGTGACTAATACTGGGAGGCGAAACAACAACTGGCGACGAGTGTGTGGGAACCGGTTCAAGTGCTCTTTCACAGGTGGAGGAAAACAGAAATATAAAGCGAACGAGAAGCCAACAGTATGTCTGGGTGTCCAATGATTGTACCGTTCTGTTTCTTCAGGCCAGGGGAAGAATCCTTTGAGATTTTCGTTCAGAGGTTTGAAGCAGCTTTTAAGGCAAATGCATTGGAAGAAGGAAAAAGAATGCCCATCTTTGTTTCTCTACTGGATTCGGAAATGTTGAAGCTGGGCAATGATTTGTTTTTCCCGAGTACAATGAAAGAACAGCCTTATGAACGTTTAATACAAAGAATAAAGCTACATCTAGTTCCAAGAAAGAAGGTGATTACTCAACGATGCAGGTTCTTGAAGAGAATACAACTAGAGAATGAATCCGTCTCAGAATACCTGCGTGAGCTCAGGCATTTGGCTATGGATTGCACCTTTGGTGAAATGTTGGAGGTCATGTTACGAGACCGTTTTGTGGCTGGTATAAATCGGAAAGCCTTCAGAAGAAATTGTTACAGGAGGATGACGATGTCACCTTGGACAGGGTATTTTCTATAGCAGTCTCGTTTGAGCTAGCTGAACAAAATGCTAAGGAGCTGCAGGATGGACTAGTGGCTAAGATGGATATTGTTCCGGGAGGAAATAGAAAGAATGAAGCTCGTAGAGGATAGCAGCATGGGCCCGGTATGCAAAGAAGGGAGACAATTTGTTTCCGATGCGGCCTAAAAAACTCTCACCTGGCACCTGCATGTCCACATAAAACAAAATCCTGTTTTAAATGCAAGAGAATTGGACATTTGAGCAGGGTGTGCAAAACGGGTAAATCATTGCCAGACTGCAGATATGTGCAGGACGAATTTATTTATTCGGTACAAGGTGATACTGATGCAAAAATAAATCTACATGTTGACGAGTATCAGTTGTGTTTTGTGGTGGACACGGGAAGTCCCGTCACACTGATACCGAAAACAATTTATGAAAAAAATACTGGAAAGATAATAAATTATCTCCATCTTATTTAAGATTGAGGTCCTTTTGCGGAAAATCAATAAAAATTATTGGTGAGAGAAGAGTTTTTGTGAAGGAGGCAAATCAAGATTTGCGGTTGATAGTTGTAGATGAAGATATTTCGATAGTTTTGTTGGGACGAGAATGGCTAAAAGGTTTAAATCTTGATTTTTCTAGGTTATTGAACATTAGACAAGTAAGCGAGTCCGATATCAAAGTTATAATAAATAAGTATGCTAATTTATTTAGCAAAGAATTAGGTTGCTTAAAAAACGTCCATATTGATTTTTATTAAAAAAAAATACGACTCCTGTATTTTGTAAGGCGAGAAGTTTGCCTTTTTCTTTGAAGAAAAAAGTAGAAAATGAAATCGATGGTATGGTTAACGAGGGAATTTTACAACCTATTGAGTATGCAAACTGGGCCGCACCTATAGTACCAGTACTGAAGAAAGATGGAAGCCTTAGAATTTGCGGCGATTTCAGATGCACCGCAAATAAGGCCATATAATTGGATAAGTACCCGCTTCCATCAATAGACGAAATATTTTCAAAATTGTCTGGAAATACAGTGTTTTCGTCATTGGACTTATCCAGAGCTTATTTGCAGGTCAGGTTATCTGAAGAGGCCAAAAGAGTGGTGAACATTAATACTACGAAGGGGTTATTTGCCTTTAAAAGGCTACCCTATGGAGTAGCTGTAGCACCAAATAAGTTCCAAAGAGAAATGGACAATCTATTTGCAGATATGTCGGGAGTGGCTCGCTACATCGATGACATCCAGGTAGCCGGAAAGGATCATAGGGATCACGAGCAAAAGCTGGAATTGGTCTTTAAAAGGCTGCAAGAAAAAGGTTTAAGATTAAACAAGGATAAATGCAAATTCGCAGTAAAT